ATTATTAGGACTCAAATGCAGTTTGAGGAGAAGCGGGATTCAGAGTGTAACAAAAGACGAGCTTTAATCACAAAAAGCTGTTTACAATTAAAAACAAAACAAAAACCATGAATCTATAAACAGGAAGCACGAGGTAGCATCCAGAAAAAACCCGACAGTGACAAACATAGAGGGTGACAGGAAAGGGGGAGGCAGAAACACAAGGGCAACAGGTGAACACAATCAGACAATCAGACACAGGAGGGCAAACACAGGAAGGAAGACAAGAGACATCGAGAACAGGATTTCAAAAATAAAACCACAGCTAGACAGACAAAACTAAAATCGTGACACTCTCATTTTTTTTCTTTATCAGGTGAATCTTTAGGATTTCAGCAGTGGTAGAATGTAACTAAGTGCATTTACTCAAGTACTGTACTTAAGCATGTCTTTAAAATACTAGTACTTTACCATTTTATTTTCTCTGCTACATTTCAGTGGCAAACATTGTACTTTTACTCCACTACATGTATTTCGTTTTTATATATAAAGAACACATTTTTATGTTTTATGATGTGGTGCATTCCTGTAATACTTAAGTGTCTAAATTGGCTCACATTGATAGCGTTAACAGCTGGTTTCTGTAAACAGACTCAAAGCGACTCTAATGGCGCGTTTCCACTGCAGGCCTCGCTCGGTTTGGTAAGGCCTTATTAGGCCCGGCTCACTTTAATGCTGCGCTTCCATTACAGTTTAGGAGCTGGGGCAGTAACTATAGTAACGCAGTGTAGGCGGAGCCGTGACATCATCTTCAATGAGCACCCGTGAGCACCCGAGAAAAAACTACATCAGCCGTTAGCTGTTTGCACTCAAGCTCCTCATATCTGTTCAGAAACTAGACAAAAGTTAAACAAGTACAAACCACTGACTGTCTGTGTCATGGTGAATACAGTCGCTGGTTTATTTATGTCTGTATAGGCCGTTGTGAGTGTGGACGGTCGGAGCATATAGCCTATATTGCGTTAGCTTAGCCGATCTCCATTTAGACAACAAATCAAATCAAGTTTTATTTATATAGCACATTTTTAAACGATTTTTGGTCGAGCCAAAGTGCTGTACATATAATAAAAATACCCTACAGTAAAGACACTTTACAGCAAATACAACAGCACAGTTTGTGCAGAATATCAGTATGAGAAAACGACACCCTCTGTCCTTAGACCCTCACATCGTACAATGAAAAACCTCTGGAGAAAAACCCACAGTTTAAAGGGGAAAATGGGAGAAAACCTCAGGGAGAGCAACAGAGGAGGGATCCCTCTCCCAGGACGGACAGACAGAGATGCCGTGTGTAAATCAAAGAGATAATACATTTTACAGCGTAGGTTGACCAAATGTTTGGAAATGCATGTGTCTATAATAAGAAGATCACGCATTTTAAAAGGTTTTTCGCCTGC